ACAAGTTCAAGTACTGCCTTAGCAAATTAACAAGATCTTGTCTCAAAAAAATAATTGGCTGTGGTAGGACATATCTGTAATCCCAGCACTCCAGGAGGCTGAGATAGAAAGATTACAACTTTGAGCCCAGCCTGGGCAATTTAGTGACTTAGCAAGATGCTATCTCAAAAGAAAAAACAAAAATAAAAGGGTGGCTGGGGATGTAACTCAGTGCAAAGGCCGTATGTTCAATCCCCAGTACTGCAAAAAATAATTTCAAAAGACTAGGAATGTAGCTCAGTGGTAGAACACCCCTGAGTTTGATCCCCAGTACTATGCAAAAAAGAAAAGAAAAACACCAGTAAAATGTCACTTCTATACAATTCCAATTCCTTCTAAGCATAACAGAGGGTGCCACATACACCCCTTACTTTTTCTACTGTAAAATTTTACTTTAGCATAATAGTAGTCAGCTGTGCATCTCAGTACCTTTCCCTGAGGGATACAGGAAGCAATCTTTGTGTTTACCCACTTGGTACAATGAAAGGAAAGGTATGTGCACATGTACAAAAGTATCAGACCAGAATTTACACTCTCATTATGTTGAACGTGGAATTTACACTCTCATTATGTGGAACGTCACTTGAACATCACAGAAGGTGTAATGCACCCACACCACTCTAGGATTTGTTTTTTGGTTTTTTTAATTTTTAAAAAAATTTTTCTGGTAGAAGTAACCCAATTCAGTACAATGGCACATGAGAAACCAGATTTGCAAATTTTGGGGGAGGTCAGAAGAGAATCATCAGACTACCTATGCATGGATAATGAAGATGATTCATTATTGTAAAATACATGTTTTCAAAGGCTATACTTTCAGGGATCATTTCTTTTTCTTTTTGTTCCTTTTTTTTTTTTTTTTTTTGTCTGTTTGAGACAGGGTCTTGCTGTGCAGTTCAGGCTGGCCTTGAGATCACTTTGTAGCCCAGGCTGGTCTCAAACTCACATCGATCCTCCTGCCTGAGCCTCCCAAGTGCTAGGATTACAGGTGTGTGCCACCACACCCGGCAAGGGATCATTTTCATAGTATGTTACTAGAGAAATTTTTCTGATCTTGTAAAGTACATGTTTTCATAATAGAAGAGTGGTATGGGTGAATGATGATGATGATGATGATACACAGGGAATGCAGACCTCCTTGATTCAGATGATAAAGAAAACAGCAATGTGAGTACATATTTGACTAGTTGAAATGTTGCAAAATCATCACACAACCAAATGGAAAGCTTCAATGTTAGAACTAGGTCCAAAAATATGGTGAGGGTCTTGGCAGGGGTGAAACAGAATGCCAACACTGCCATTCAGTGTTGGAAATCATAACAGACAAAATGCTACAAGATGCTGTGAAATACATAAAGGCTGAAATGCAAGTAAAACATTCTGCATGCACCAATAGCCATATACAAAAATGTATTTATTATGACACCTCACTAGCTGAACTGAAAGCATTCATATTGTTCTTAGCACAGATTTCTCACGGTAATCACAGGAATGTAAAAGATTTATAGAAAAGCAAAGAGTCAAAATATGGCATAAAAATTTATGCCTTTGTAGATGCAAAGATTTATTATGTTTTCAATTTAGAAATTTATCCTGGAACTCAGCCATCAGGTCCTTATTTGTATAGTAATAAACCGAGTGATGTTGTGAACAGACCTGTTGCTCCCATCTCCCAAACTAGTCAGAATGGGACATTTGGCAATTGGTTTACCAGTTTCCAGTTGATGCTACATTTGCTAAGAGAGCACAAGTTGACCAGCACAGGAGCTGTACACAGGAACAAAGCAGAAATCCCAAATGAAATGTTGCAATTTCAAAACAGATAAATGTATAGTACAATCGTTGGATTTCAGAAAGATTTACATTGGCCTCATATATGGCAAAGAAAAACAAACTGGCACTGCTGATCTCAACACTGCACCATGATGGAAATCTGATGGGAAACCTTGACAAAATGGAAATCCAAGATGGTGACTCCCTACAACAAAACCAAAGGCAGACTAGTTGTTGTTGATGAGTTATGCAGCAACTACGATGTCACTCGAAACACAAAGCATTGGCCAACGGTTGTGTTTTGCTCAACCCTAAACATGTATGGCATAAATTGTTTGATAGTTTACAAAGAAAATAACAAGCGCAAAATACCACAGACTGTCTTAGAGAATTGGGACTGGAACTCATAAGAGAGCATTTATAGCAGAGGAAAAACCATACAAAAAATTGTGGACCACCCTTGTGAGCTGACAGGTAAACAGGCAGGCATGGCATCACAAAGACCTACTATGACAACAGGAAAACCAAAAAAATGTCAAGTGTGCCCTACAGGAAAGGACAGGAAAACAAAACATACGTGCTATAAGCAATACTTGTGTATGGAACATGCAGTTTTCATGTGTGAAGACTTGCATAGTATAGTAAGAACCCCCTGACAAAACAGCAAGACCAGCCACATGTCAAGTATGTCCTACAAAAAGGCCAGGAAAGCAAAATACATGTGCTATCAGTGTGAGTGATACAGCATGTATACAGATCATGCTGTTGTCAGACTGCCTTAGGTGTGAAAACTGAAGATTATTTTTTGTAGGGTGCTATTGATATTTTCAGTGTAGTTTATATAGGAATTTATTTCTATTCTTTTTTTAGACTTTGTATGCCAAAAACCAGTCAATATTGAAAAATTTTTTATAAACATTCAATAAATATTAAAAATGCAATACTTTATGATTTTCCCTGTTAAGCACTCATTGTTTAATATAACTTATAAAGTTAAAATTATTAATTCATCAATAGAAATATTCTGAAGAATAAATGTGTGTGACACTCCCATGGTTCGGCCACAAAATGCCAAAAAGTGCATTAAGCTCCAATGATAATTCCACTGTTTCCTCGAACTTAGTATGCTAGTTTCAAAATTTATATGGGGGGTCCAAATATAACTGAAAGAATCTTAAAGACAAAGAAGGAAACTATTCAGGTTCCTCTTTCAAAACTGGAAGAATTTGAAACCAGCACAGTGGTATGTTCCTGTAACCCTAATAATTGGGAGGCTGAGGCAGGAGGTCACTTGAGTCCAGAGTTCAAAGTACAGTCTGGGCAATATAGGGAGCTCTTGTCTCTCAAAAAAAAAAAGAAAAAATGCAGATGATCTGGCCACAGTGGGTTCTCACTTTGATCCTTGTAGATATTTGATTGTACAATAGTTACCTGGACTTAGGGTGAAAACATAAATGATTATTAAATTCCATAATTCTGTTCAGTTTTGTGAACACCCTGTCCTTGGGAAGACTTTAACAGGCAAGCAAAAAGAGTAGGAGTGGAAGGTGTGAATCTAAGACATGTTTCTGGCAACTGTGAAGTTCCAAGTATGATCATGGGAATGTGTCTGAGAAAGGATGGAAGAAAGGGTGTCCTAGGATAGTGACAGAACTGGAAGGTGTAGCAGGCACAAGAGATGGGGACTTGGCTTCCCTGAGACCAATACCTGAATCTGGAGCAAAGAGATGGTGCTTACTGGCAAGGATTCCAAATGCTAGGCAGCACTTTTTTTTTCTTTTGGTATGGGGAATCAAACTCAGGACCTCACACTTGCCAGGCAGGTGCTGTGCCACTGAGCTATATCCCCAGTCTTAGGTAGCACTTAAATGTCTGAGAGAAATACAAAAGAATCCAACACTAGTAGAAAGGAAGAGTAACCTTTCCTAAGAACCCATTCTGGACTAGGCCCTGTGTCACAGGTTATCTCCTTGAGACTATGAGCATAGATATTATGATACAAGTAGATTAACAATTGGTATTGTTATCTACAATTGGTAAAGTTATTGACATTAATAGCAATCCTCTGGGAGTACACATTAATATCCCCTTGCTATGGATGAGCACGCTGAGGTTATGAAAAGTGGTCACTAGCTTAGTATGTCACGCTGGGCCTTGAAGGAGCCTAATTCAAACCTGAGATTCCACAACCTACCTTGGCCCTCACTTGAAAGGGAAAGGTTACTAGAGGATCCTGAAATGCACATAGATATGCTAAAGAAAATAAAGCCTATAGGTCAAGGTGTTAAATCCACCCCCTCAACCCTAGGAAGCCCAGATTTAATCAGTGCCTCCCAAACACCAGCTGAGACAGATAAGGAGAAGAGAGAGATGGTATCTTTAGCCCAAGAATCTGCTAGTTAACAAGGAGTCCTGATGTGAACTAAGTTTTTGATCCACAATGTTAGAAGCAAAGTGGCTGATGACTATAAGCGACCCACACGTGGGACTGCCACGTAATTTAACGTCTGACTTCAAAAATCCTTCGCCCTGATTGGTAAAATGGGTGTAATTACAGCACCTTTGCTGGAAGATTCTATGTGATAAAAGCCTACACCTAAAAGCACTCAATACATTACAATTGTCATCACGGGTACAATAGAGATTTTTCAAAAACTAAGAACAATGGCGTATGACTTATTTGGAAAAATATCAAAGAATAAGGACCGATGAATGGATAGTGGTGTGGTAGGATCAGGCACATCATAGTAAAAATGTTAATGATAAAAGTTTGAATAAAGAAGTTTAAGTGGCAAAAACTTAGTGGTGAAATGTTCACTAAAAACTCAACCTTTTGTATGTTTACAAATGTTCATAATCCAGCGTTGGAAAAAATACAGCATAGTGATACGCTTTAAGGGGAAGAGCCACGTGTGGGTTTTTGTATGTGTTTGTTTTATGGCGCAAAACAAAACGATCGCTAGCTCCCCGACCCCGCGCCGCTTTTCGCGCGGGCCGCTAGTACCGCTGCGGGGTCGGATCACCCAGGACGCCCGAGGCCGGAGAGCGAGGCGAGGCGCTGCTGGAGCGGCGTCCACGAGCGGAGGTCGGGCGGCTTCGGCGGGCGCGGGCCACTCCGCGCGGTGCGTAAATAGCGTTGCTGGTTGGGGGAGGAAGGGGGTGGGAGAGAAGCGTCAAATTTCAAAAAAAAACCACCTCCGGAGCCCCCGAGCTCCGGGCGGGCGCGATGGGCGCCCTTTGGCTGCGGGACGAGAAGAGGATGCTGGGAAGGAGGTAAAATGGCCACCGGTGGCGGCGCGGAGGAGGAGAGGATGCGGGGACGGCCGCAGCTCCTGCCCCCGGCGCGGCCCGGGGCCCCGGGCGAGGAGGCCGAGGGCACCCGTGAGAAGATGGGCTGGGCCCAGGTGGTGAAGAACCTGGCCGAGAAGAAGGGCGAGTTCCGCGAGCAGCGGCCACCACGGCGGGAGGAAGAAGGCAGCAGCGGGAGCGCGGGAAACGGGCTCAGCGCCCCCGCGGGCCTGGCGGCGCCGGACCTCGGCGACTTCCCGCCGGCCGGCCGCGGGGACCCGAAGGGCCGTCGGAGAGAGCCGGCCGGCGAGGCGGCGGACTCCCGCAAGAAGAAGGGCGCTGCTGAACCGCACAGGAGGAAGAAGGCCGAGGCGGCGGCCATCGCGACCCCCGCCCGGGCCGGCGAGGCAGAGGATGTGCGCGAGCGGCCGCTCGCTGACGAGCAGGCGGCAGCGGCGGCGGCGGCGGCGGCCCCTGCGGCCGGCGCGGGCAAGGGGCGCTTCCTCGTGCGCATCTGTTTCCAGGGCGACGAGGGCGCCTGCCCGACCCGGGACTTCGTGGTGGGCGCGCTCATCCTGCGCTCCATCGGCATGGACCCGAGCGACATCTACGCGGTCATCCAGATCCCGGGCAGCCGTGAGTTCGACGTGAGCTTCCGCTCGGCGGAGAAGCTGGCTCTGTTCCTCCGCGTCTACGAGGAGAAGCGCGAGCAGGAGGACTGCTGGGAGAACTTTGTAGTGCTGGGGCGGAGCAAGTCCAGCTTGAAGACGCTCTTCATTCTCTTCCGGAACGAAACAGTGGACGTGGAGGACATCGTCACCTGGCTCAAGCGCCACTGCGACGTGCTGGCCGTGCCCGTGAAAGTGACCGATAGGTTTGGGATCTGGACCGGGGAGTACAAGTGCGAAATCGAGCTGCGCCAGGGGGAGGGTGGGGTCAGGCACCTGCCAGGAGCTTTCTTCCTGGGGGCTGAGAGGGGCTACAGCTGGTACAAGGGGCAGCCCAAGACGTGCTTTAAATGTGGTTCCCGGACCCACATGAGCGGCAGCTGCACACAGGACAGGTGTTTCAGGTGCGGAGAAGAGGGGCACCTGAGCCCCTACTGCAGGAAAGGCATCGTGTGCAACCTCTGTGGCAAGCGAGGGCACGCCTTTGCCCAGTGCCCCAAAGCAGTGCACAATTCCGTGGCAGCTCAGCTCACTGGTGTGGCTGGGCACTGAACGCCCCGCCTGCCTGCCAGGGTGGACACACAGCCAGCTTACCCCTCTTAAGTGCCAAAACCTTTTTTTAAACCATTTTTTATCGTTTTTGAAGGAGCTCTTTTAAAAACCAACCAGAGACTTCTCTCTATGCCTTCTTAAACCGAGTTTATACCATTTCAGCTTGTTCTGAATTGGTGATTGTCACCAGTAATGATTACCCAGAACTGTATTGTGCAGATGCTGCTCCTCCCTTTATAAAATTTTATTTTGATTTTTGTATTCGGGTTTTTTTTTTTCTTGTACTTTTTACTACCCCTCTTCCCACACTCTGTCTTCTCCCTCGAATCTCATCTGGGCTGCCTTGCTCACCTTTACGCCCAGCTCAGGGTATGGGGCCCAGCACAGGGTAGGCACTCTCCATCAGTGTTTGCTGGATAGAAAACAATCTCGACTGCGGCTGCTGTCACAGTGTCTACCTTTGCAGCTCCTTCCCATCCCCTTTTAACTTGCTGCTTCTAATCTTTGTGGTCTGAGAATTTGTGAACCCAGTGTTGTTAGAAGTGTTTATAATCTGAACGAATAAGCTCTCAATGGTGGCCAAGGGCCTCTCTTATGGCATAAAAATACCTGGACTTTGTGACAGCTCTTCTGGTGGCTTAGAAGCCATTTTTCAGAGAATCATGGAACTGGAAATTTTTTCTTGTCAGAAAGGACCTGAGAGTTGGTTTAAGCCAATCTTTTGGTTTTCCTGAGGAGGAAACAGACCCAGAATGGTTAAGTGACTGGGTCAAAGTCATACAACTGTCTGGTGCCAGAGCTAGCCCATAGTAGAGCCCCCTGACCCCAAACCCGGTGCTCTTCCCACTACCTCTCACACTTCACAACAATTTCCTCCACACTTGAGGGCCCAGGAAGTCTGATCTCTCCACAGTGATGAAGCTAGAGCAAGGAGGAGAAGTCATCTGGGGGAGGAAGCAGAAAGAGGCTCACCAGGGCTTCCTGAATACGGTACTTTGGAGACAGGGAACAAACTCCAGGATGCGTTCATTGCTCCCTGGATTACCCCACCTAACATAAGTGTACCAGGTCCTTTGGAGGCCTTCCCCTTCCCCATTCATTGCCACCAGTGAGAAATGGCGGTGCCCCTGAGTAAAGAAACCTACAAGGGTTTACATGTGCACCTTAGCCTCAGTAGCTAACCTGAGAAGCAGCTAGCTGGAGCTCATCTGCAGCCTTTTGACTCAGGAGAATGGTGGTTTTAACCCAGGATTCAGTTGTTGACTCTAAAGTGTACTTGGGAATAGACCAAGCAAGAGGGCATGGGTCCACTAAGTATTATCAAGTTAAAGTAGAAAAGACAGTACACTTCTTTTAGTTTTTGTCTTTCCTTTGCTATATGTTTTGCTATTTCCTTGTGGCTTAGAATGTAAAATGAATTGTTAAAAGTTTTGTTCTGAATAAATATTTATCTTTTGTATTGCTAACACGATGTACTGTTTCCTTCAGAGTGTCAGGTACACAGTTGTACAGACCTTAGTTTAGAGTACTCTTCTACACACCATATGTTTACCCTGTAAACACATTTCCCACACTGCAGGCCATGCAAAACACCTACCTAACCCTGCTGTGCTGGGCTGTCTAGCATTGTTACCTATGCGTCCCACTCACTTAGGAGACCGTTAAAACTCAGGTTTTCAGCCTTAACCCATCTCCAGGGAGTCCTACTCACCCAAAGTGAAGTATTTCATATTAGCATCCCAAGCATTTGGGATGGGCAGCCAGGTTTGTTACCGCCTTTGTGAATGGTACAGGATGAGTGAGATGACTGTCCTCAGGTAACAAACCGCTGGGAGAGATGGTGGTGGAGGATGTGCGGGGCATTGCTGGGTTTTAGAAAAATACCATCTTTTCCAGCTTGCGGGGAGGTGGTCGTGAAATTTCCCAAATCGATGACTCATTCCGCCAAGCCAGCCCTGCAGATGCTGGGCCTAGGAGCAGAACAGGGTTAGTGCTCTGCAGCCCCAGACACAACCCTTGGAAGGGCTTTGCAGCCCGACGACGTTAAGGTGACCTGATGGTAAGAGTTAAGTTTCCCATGGTCTTGGTTCTCCGGCTCAGGGACTTGATGTTTCGAGAGCTAAACGGAGTTGGGGCCTGGTAGGACTTGGGGTTCCTGCCTTTGCGAGTCCACTCATCCCCATTTCCTTCTAGTATCCCTAAGCAACCAACACGCCCCCCCCCCCCCGCGCACGGGGAAGGGCTTCCTCCTTCCCATCCTCCCTTCCCCCATCCTCCTCCTGCGCCTCCGGGGCCTCACTCCCTCTGACAGCGCTAGGGGCCGAGGCCGGGAGACAGCCAGCTTGCCCGAGCTCCCCACCCCCTTCCCGGCGCTGGCTTGGAGCCAGGACGCCCGGGTGGAAGGAACCTTCCGCCCCGCCCCCTCCCCAGCCGGAGCGAGGGGAAAGGAAGAAAGCGGCTCCCTGCCCATCCCCCCTAGGATCCGCTCCTTTCGGGCCGGGACTGAGCCAGGGGCCCCAGTAGGACCCACCTCCCCCAGCTTCCTCTCGGGCTCAGGAGCCCCCAAGGCGCGAGTCCTCCTGTCAGTGAACACTCGGAGACCTTGCAGGCCCCCGACGGTGGTTGGGGCCAGGCCCCGAGTGGCGCGCGGGTAGCAGCGGGTCACAGCGCACTTGCAACTGAGATATACGCAACGAAGCAGACAGTTTTCACAGCAACATAACGTATTTTAAGGTATTTGTTCTGGAAAGAAACAAACCACGCTGTATAGAAATGTCTGGAAGTAAAGCTTTCCCTAGAAGAGACAATGTTGACTGAAACCCACGGGATGAGTAAGGACTGGGTTCACAGGGGAGAGAGAGGTACCCCGGCGGCAGAAGTGGCCTGTGCAGAGCACACAGCGTGTTCGGGCTGGCTGAGGGGGCACAGATGGGGCCAGAGCTAAGGGCCTCCAGCCAGGGCATGAAGCACCAACTCTGCTTGGGTCCTTTCTCGGCAAGGCAGTTCAGCATGCGGAAGGAGTTGGTCCATGGGGCTCTAATTCTAGAGTCACGCAAATATATAATCACAGACTGTGGTACGGCACTGAAAGAGACCTACAAGGCGGCAGGAGGATCACAAGTTCAAGGCCAGCCTGGGCAACTTAGCAAGAACCAGTCTAAAAAAAGGAAAGGAGAAGAAACTGAAAGGATGGAGGCCCGAGTTTGGGAACTGTAGCTCAGTGGTGGAGCGGTTGCCTATCACGCAGAGGCCCGGGGTTCAATCTCCAGTACCAGTACCACAAAAAAAGAAACTTACCCCTGAAATCCCTGTTTAACAAGGAAATGTGGTCCAATATGAGAAGGCAGAGATAACTTCCCTTGGAAAACGTTTGAAGCTAGATCAAAAGGAATCACAAGGGAGTTCATGGAGAGGGGGTGGGGTTTAAGGGGTGTAGGAGTATTGACCTAAGCAAAAGGGAGCAATAGCAGCTAAAACAACCCGAGGAGGAGGGAGAGGAGGCCAATCCTAGGAAACAAATTTAAGTCCAATGTATCAGAGCAGGCTTGGAAATAAACCATTCTAGGTATTGAACAAAGTGATGGTTTTTAGACAAGGTATTTAGCAAGGACTTCTGGAATACAACAGAACTAACCAGGGAAGCTACTACGTCTCAGAAGACTAGCCAGGAGGCTACCACTGGAAAGTAAGTATGAGGACATACTGCTGAGGCTGCCACCCAAAGACAAGATGATGGCTAGGATTAGAAAGACACTGCTTAGCCAGGTGTGATGGCGCACATCTGTAATCCCAGCACTTGGGAGGTTAAGGCAGGAGGATGACTACAAGTTCAAGGCCAGCCTGGGCTACATAATGAGTTCAAGGCCAGCCTGCACTCATGGTAAGACCCTGTTTCAGAAAAAGAAAAAAAAAAAAAAAAGACTGCCATTGCCATTGCCAAGAAGTGAAATGCTGAGTCCAAATCCTGCCTCCACAAAGCCAGGGACTGCACTAGTCCTCACCACAGGTGGTCATATGCCAGATAATGATGTTAGCCAATGGCAGACCTCCACGGTGGTCCCATAAGATTATATCGTTATGACATCGCGGCCATCTTAGTTAATATAAGTTAATATAAGTACATTTTATGTTGTTCACACAATAGTCTCACCTGGTCACGAGTAAAAACAGCCAAAATCATCTGACTTACCTCTGGCCTGCCTTCCACTTTTCAAACCTCATGCAAACCTCATCAAACCTCATCTGGTTCCTGAAGCCCTAACTGCAGAGGAGTAGGGAGGTGGTTCAGCTTCTAGCATCTAGAGGATGGGAAGCACATCGACCAGGTAAAGGTGCACGTTGCCTGCCAGGGATCCATCCACAGCGCATGTGGGGCAAGATGACAGTGCATGATGAGGATACAGGTCCTGGGGCTCTGGTAGGCCTTTAGGAATTGGGGTTTAAGAACAATGAGAAAGGGACTGGGGGTTTAGCTCAGCGGCAATGCCTGCCTGGAAGCGCGAGGTCATGAGTTCAATTCCCAGTACCAAAAAAAAAACAAAAAAAAAGAACAGTGAGAAGCCACTGAAGAACTTTTATGAAAGGGAGTAACGCCATTTGGAGTGTGCTTTTATTTTTGTTATGCTGGTGATCAACTCAGGGCTTCACACACTCTGAGCAGGTTCTCTACCACTGAACTGCACTTCTAGCCCCATTGGGTGTGTTTTGAAAACATCATCTGGGCACTGGGCTTGGTGAGAGAGCACCCCTGTAATCCCAGCACTCTGGGAGCTGAGGCAAGGGAACCAAAAGTTCAAGCTCAGCCAGGCCATTTAGTGACAGAGACCCTGTCTCAAAATCAAAAATATAAAAGGGTGGGGGATGTGGCTAGTGCAAAGACCTGTGCGTTTGAATTCCAGGACAAAAAAAAAAAAGTTAATTAACTAGTAACTAAATAAAATCTGATTTGGGATACTTTATGGGGAATGAGTACGGCTTGGTTTGTGTGTGGATGTCCCTCCAAAGCCTCATGCAGTCATGGGGGAGTGAGTTTTTCACAAATCTAGTTTGTGATTGATTCATGGTTCAGTGCTAGGATTAAGGGTGGGTGATCAGCCGGGAGTGGTGGCACACACCTGTAATCCCAGCACTCAGGAGGCTGAGGCAGGAGGATAGTTACGAGTTTGAGGCCAGCCTGGGCTACAAAGTGAGTTCAAGGCCAGCCTGAACTGCATAGCAAGACCCTGTCTCAAAAAGACCAAAAAAAGAAAAAAAAAAAGGGTGGGTGATTGCTATATCAGTCCACTGATTGGGTTGGCACAACCCTAATTCCAGCAGTTCGGATAAGATAAAAGGGGCAGAAAGAGGCTTGTCTCCCCCTCTCTCTCATTGCTTTTACTGTCTTCTGGCGCCATGAACTGTTGCCCCTCTGCCACGTGACACCGACTTGGAGCCAACTGCTTATGGACTGAAACCTCCACAAACTGTGAGCTAAATACGCATTTTCCCCTTTAATTTGGGTGTCAGGTATTTTGTCTCAGCAACCAGAAAAGTGACTAAGACAAGTACACACAGAAGTTAGATTCTCAGGAAAGTTTTGGGTTTGCAGTATCAATAAGAGGCCTACAGCAGTGACTTTCAAACTGTTTCAACACATCCCACAGTTTGCATATGTGTATTTTTATCTACATCTGAAACAAGTTTCCCCAAAAGATATTTATCCCAGGTATGATACACCCTAATACTTTCTATCCTGTTGCTTTTTTTTTTTTTTTTTTTTTGGCAGTACCAGGGATTGAACCTAGAACCTTTGCACTGAGCTACACCCCCAACCCTTTTGTGCCCATGCTGCAGTTGAACTTGTGATCCTCCTGCTGCAGCCTCCCAGAATATTAGGACAGGCAAAAGCTTATATGACCTGTTAACTTTCTCTCACATTCTCCTAATGAGTCATGAGAGAAAGCAGAAAGAAAGCAGCTTATGCCAGCTAGAGTCATATGCGAAACACCTCTGACAGTGAGAGTTGTCACTAATGGAAAAAGATTTGTTGACAACATAGGCACAGCAAGGAAGGGTGGAGGAAAACAAGAAAATGTGAAGACACACAAACCAAAGGAGAAAGGTTGCAAGTGGGCGGAGTTAACCGTGTTAAAAGTTGCAAAAGGTCAAGTAAAATTGATGTCAAGGTCAGTACTGGTGAGTCCGACTGGCCTGAGCAGAGTGGGGCTCTCTGTGGGATAAATAGGGACACACTAAAGAGCACATGACCTTCCTTGTAGATCTTTCTGCTGCTATATAGAAATACTCGAGGCTGAGTACTTTATAGAGAAAAGAGGTTTATTCCACTCACAGTTTTGGAGGCTAAAAGTCCAGAATCAGGTGGCCCCATCTGTTTGGCCTCTGGTGAGGTCCTCATGGTAGGAGTGTGTATGAGTGTGTGTGTCTGTGTGTATGTATGTGACAGAGAGAGACAGAGGAACCCAAAAGA